AAATAGATAATAAAACGCCAACACCTGGTTTTGTATGGCATTGTAAGCTAAATCCATGGTAACAAACTTATTTAGCAATGATAAATAGATATGTGGAATAGAATCAAAGAACACTAAAGTTGGCAGGAATTAAATTAGGTACACGCATGTATTATTATAGATAACATTCTTCAATGTATAGTATCATATCCCATAGATCATAATAGATATGCAAGCTTAAGGGAGGGGAAAATATATTCCAAAATGTAGAGTAAATTAAAAAAAAAAATCATAGCAAAAATTATAATTACAAATGAAAAGAAAAACCCATGAGAAAGAAGATTTACCATATTTAGTGAGCTCAACTGTGCTGAAGGAGAAGAGAGAGAGTACTCTGTTACGCCGGCTCCCTCTACAGGAGGGAGCCATCTGCCCTGTTCAAAAGAATCGAACCCAGAAGAAAAGTTGGGCGGGAACATGAAGGTAGTTTCGGCCCCTCTTGTGGAGCCCAGGAGAGCTTTAATTCAATATGGAAGGAGGAGAAATAGGAGAGAGATGTTTAGGAAGGTTTTAATTAGAATTGTGAGGGAAATAGTTAGGAAAAGATATCTAAATTGAATTTAAATTGGAGAGGGAATAATTTGGAGAAACTAGATTGATTTACGGGAAAGTAGGCTGACCTACCTCTTAAATAGTAGATCAATTGAATCTTAATTATTGTTGAAGTATTAATAAAAATCAGCCCTCATCTTCACGCACAAAAAAAAATTCCATGACAGATGTATTAAGGCAAAAAAACTACTGAAAAAAACAGAAAATTGATAGAAGATAATTTTAGATGAATGTTGTATAGCTTCTACTAGAAATTAATTATTAAAATTATGGATTATAGAATGAATGAAATTTCACACAATTACTAGATAGCTTTATTGTAGCAAATCAGATTAAACACAATATCACATAAAACCACTAACGAAAAATAATAAAGAAGAAGAATAAAGAGGAGAAAAGGAAAATCAAGAAAAAACCTTAAAAATAAAATTTATGTTTATACAAAATGATGACATCTTCTGAACTTTTTAAGTTTCTCTCTTTATCAAGAAAACTGAAATTTTATCAAGTCTCCTATAGAAGAGTAAACATTTGCATATCCAAATTGAAATTTTATCAAGCAATCAACTTCTCCAAAGAAAATAAAATAAGATTTTACTAAACAATCAATAAATATTGAACATGTCGCAGGCTTTACTTATGATCACAAAATAAACTCGAAAAACAAAGTTCACTAATATGAAGAACCATAACGGAATTGCAGTCGAAACCACAAAAACTGCTGTAAGTTGCTAACGAAAAGCCGCTCACAAAGAAAGACATAACTACAGTTCAAAAAGAGTCGGAGTGGACCAGAGGATTTGCTAAACAAAGGTTTTGTTGAAAGAGAATCAAACAGCTACAAAGCCAAAACTTCCTGAAAGGAAATAGGCACAAAAATAGCCACAACAAGGGCAAATACGCTACAGTAACCAAGCGAAAAATTGTAAGAGGCAACTAAGCTTGCAAGGAATCTGCCTAAATTCTCCTGTTTCAGAAAATTTGGCTAATGTGAATCTTTTAGTCAAAACTACTAAATTTCATGTGAAGACATCTATGAATCATCCCATTTATGTCTATATTACCATTTCATAAGTAGCTTTGGTATCCACCATCAGCAATAGAAGTAAATTCATCACTAAAAATAGAGATAGGTGCAAGATTAGAAAGATCATTTAAATTTTTGCATATATTTTGTCAAATGTAAAATTAGGAGGTGGACTACATGGAATCTTGGGCATTGATTAATGATTCATGAAATAAAATCAAATTATATGATTTCAAAATTAGACAACAACAACAACAACAACAACAAGCCTTTATCCCACTACGTGGGGTTGGCTACATGAACCATTTTTCTCCATTGTGTCCTATTAAAAGTCAAATTCTCGTTTAAATCTAATAAAGAAAGGTCAATCCTAATATTTTCTAACCAAGTCTTTTTAGGTCTACCCCTACCTTTCTTAACAAGTTAACATAAGTCAAATCTAATACCTCTACTCTCCTAATCGGGTCATCGGAAGGCCGCCGTTTTATGTGACCAAACCATCTAAGGCGACCTTCTCTAATCTTATCTTCTACTGGACAAATTAAATGACATACATTGTACTATATGTTATGGCCACTTTTTATTTAAATGGAGGAAAAAAAGGTTTTTCTTCACTACAATCATTTAAATCCTTCTTTGTTCTTCTATAAGTTTCTACTATTTGCAATGGCTAGTGGAAAGAGCTCAATGGCTCTCATATGAAGTTCTTCCCCATGTCTCGTTGATCCTCGCTTCCCTGAAGTGGCTAATGAAGAAGCCTATCATCATTATAAGTCTATCGGGATCACCCCTTCCAAAATCATAAATCAGGAAGTCATGAACTTCTAGGTACCCAATCTCTTTTTGTCGCACTACCCTTCAATTCATTCTTACTCATGCCTTCCCATTGAACTCTGAACTCCTCTTAGAATTTTTTACTAGCCTTCATATAAACAGTGAGGGCACTGCCCTTTAATCTTATAACAATAGAAGGCCCATAGAGATCACCTATCAAGACTTTGACCAAATCCTAAAGTTTTCTACCACCGATGAAAAAGTTCATTCTTTAGCATTTCTCTATGACTATAACTGGATCCCTGTCAAAACCACCCTCAACAAATTATCAAATTCCTTATGTTAACGCACTAGTTCAAGATGCTCAAATTATTCAACATACCCTTCACAATCCAATCATTTCATAAGTTGGGGATCAAATAAAAATCACACCTCTTATATCCCTCTCTTCCTATTTTATAATAGCTAAAATTGATTTCAATGCAGCTTATATGATTCTTTGATACCTTAAAACCTTACCAGTATTAGAGATCTCAAAAAATAAGAGAGCCAAATCTAGCATTAGGTCACATCATTGCCTTTGTTCTAGAATCCAAATACAATCTCTAATTCCCTTAGGGGTGTCAATATTTGAACCGACCCAAAAACTCAAACCTGACCCAAAAATTTTAGGTTTGGGTCAACCCAAACCCAATCCGGGTCAAGTTCGGGTTAGGGATTTTGACCCATTTGTAAATTTTGGTCAGGTTCGAGTTGACCCGGGAACCTTAAATCAACCCGATTTGACCTATTTTTAATTAATTTAGGAGGGTTTTAAAAGATTTTTATGAAATAAATAAATGATATTTCTAAAAAATAATAAACATTACAATTATCAGAATTTTTAAAATTAAACCAATTTTTATAACAAAACTTCTTATTTTGAATCTTTTCTTGCACAATGATTTCAAAATTAGACTAATGCCAAAATTTTCTATGAACTCAATCCTATAAGCATTCAAATTCACTACTACACTTTACATGATATTCCTCTTTCCATTAGTTAATCTCTTTAGAGTTATTGGAAGAAACTTTCTTGGATGATATGGGCCATAACCGTTTATATGAATTTCACATATATTTTGGTATCTTCAGTAGACTTAAAATTGTAATAATTAACAGCAAGTTTTTAGAGAATATTATAAAACAAATCATGAATAATGAAAAATGTAACAAGATATGTTGCTTAAAGTGTTACGAAAAAATAATACTTAATATGTTTTTAATGAATACACTACAAATAATATCATGGGGGTAAGGATAAAGAAAAATTAAAATATCTATTTTTTAGATTTTTTTTTTTTACTTTAATTTAACAAATCCCAAATTGCACAAATAAGTTTGATTTAAATAAGATGTATTTACCATATTGTTAAAGAAAACCATTTCAAGGAAAGTAATCTGAATGATTTAATGATAAAACAAAATGAATTATGTATCCCTGAATTCAATAGACAAATAACATCTTAATTTTCATGTTTTATGAAGGTCGGTTATCATGGACAAATCCATGATATATAAACACAATTTATCTTTCTTAATAAGGTTATTTTTATAATTTTATAAGTCAAGAAATCAAGAACCAAAATAGAATTACTTTATGCCATGTTTAGTATGTACAAACACTCAAAACTATGAAGTATTTGGTGTCCAAACACATGCCAAAATCCAAACACATGTCAAACAACATTTGACATGAAAAAATCATAGCTGAAAATAAGAAACAACAAAAATTATGGCATGCATGCCCTGAATATCGAAACATGATAGACATGATGGGGCCAAATGTGTTGATTTTATCAATAGTTTTTTTTTATGCTTCTCTAATTGGTGATCAAATTTCACATTCTCTTTGAGGTACAAAGGACAATATTCAAGAATTGAAAGGTTGTAATATAAATAAAGCGGGGAATGATTGCTAATGATTGGACGAGGAGCAGTGCTTAACATGCTTCTCGAATGACAGGCTTTTAAGAGAAAGGGGGTGCATGAATTAACTAAATCTCACATCAGAAAAGAGAGGAAATGTTATTAGGCTATATGAGTAAGGGATTAGATCCAAATATGCAAGGTGCCTATTGTTATAACAGGTGGAATTTAATTAAGAACTTCATAATTAAGTGTACTTATAATGGAGCATTTCAAGAATGAGTGACCTTTTAGAAAGTTGAATCAAGAAGAGAAAACTCTTAATATTTGGCGTAATAAGAGATGTGTTAGGGAAAAGAAGACAATACCTCACGTAGTATGGGATCAGTGGTTATAATTGGCATCCAAGGACCAAGCCAAACTTCCTCCAATATGACGGGTAAATTACGGATGAACTAAGCCGAAGGTAGTGGGCTTGTGACATCACTAATCCAAAGATAATTTGTCTAAAGAGGGGGACAGTGATTGTCAAGGCAAAGGTCAAGCAAGGGGTGACTTGCGAACTTCTAAATAATAAGCTTCGAAGAAAAAGGGAGGCATGAATGAACAAAATCCCACATTAAAATGGGATGTAAGGTTATTGTGCTATACTGCTGTCTAAGTAAAATGTTAGATGCAAATATACAAAACACCTTTAGGCTTGAGGAAAAATAGAGCATTATACTTCTTTATACTTTTCAAGCAATAATGGGGGGTTTAGAAGCGAAATGTGCCAAATTATAGTTGTGAACTCCAACATAATAATAAAGCACCAATGACCCTAAATTACTGAAAGGGCATCTCTCACCATCAGGATGATGAAACTAAACTCCAACCGCAATCATAGAGCTCCCACATCACCAAAAATCACCACAGGAGCATCTTCCACACTCGAAATGATGAAATCTGTTGGCATCTCTAACTACAATCTCCCTCCCTGAAATACTGCTGATGAGCTTCATGAAAGTATGACAATCCCCACAAACACGAAGGTTTTTCAAAACCCGAATGGTCATCCCAGAAGCTGACTTGAGAAGCCCAAATGCAACTGCAAGTCTTTCACTATGCATAAATAGTTGCAGCTCTTTCTCATCCTCATCCAAGTCATGCAGGACTGAGCTAGTATCTGGGACATACCCCCTCTTCTTCATTTCCTCCATCAATTCCTTGAGCAGAGCAAGAATATTCTCTCTCATATGAAGAGGCACCACTCCAGCTTGAAACAAGCAGCTCTCCCTACCAACTTCAATCCAGCTATAGCCAGGCTGCTTTTTTATCTCCAAGTCATCCATCAACTTCCTTGCATTTGCCACACTATCCCACTTCCCAGCGATAGCATAAGTATTAGACAACAATATGTATGTTGAAGAAACTTGTGGTTTCAGTCTCAATAATTTATCAGCTACATGAACACCCAGCTGGATATCTCCATGCTTGTTGCAAGCACTCAGAAGAGCAGCCCAAGCAGCTTCATCAGGTTCATATGGCATTATCTGAATGAGACTCTGAGCTTCGGAAAGATGGCCCGACCTACTAAAAAGATCCAACAGGCATGTATAGTGCTTTAATGAAGGCTTAATCCCATAATCCTTCAGCATTGAATCAAACAGTTCCCGGCCCTTCCAAACTAAACCGATATGGCTGCAAGCATAAATTAGACCCACGAATGTGATCTCGTTTGGTTTCACTCCAGAACTAACCATCCTAGCAAATAAATCCAATGATTCCTCCGCCCTGCCATGTTGAGCCTCTCCAACTATCATAGTAGTCCATGAAACCACGCATTTGATCTTCAAAATCTTATCAAACGCCATTCTTGACGATGCAATATCACTACATTTCGCATACATGTCCACAAAAGCATTGCCCAGCATCATGTTTGACTCATAACCAAGAGATACAGAAAGGCAATGAAGCTGCTTACCGAGGGCCAACATTGCCATATCAGCTGAAGCGCTGACAACACTAGAAAGCACAAAAGCATCATCAATGCGAGTACCCTCCCTTCTCATTTCCACAAACAAGTTCAGACCTTCAAAGCCATTCCCACTACGGACCAAACCGGATATCAGAGCAGTCCAAACAAAAACCGATCTTTCACGCATTCTCCAGAAAAGCTCCAAAGCTTCAGCAATGCACCCATTAGCAGCGTACCCGGAAACCATGGTGGTTAAGGAAACAAAATTCTTCAACTCGATGGAATCAAAGACCCTGCGAGCATCATTTGGAAGTCCACACTTGGAGTACATGTCGACAAGCGAGGATTTCACAATATCATCGGAGGAGAAAGTGGAAACTAGAACGTAGGCATGAACCTGGCGGCCAAGACGAAGGGAAAGGAAGCGAGCGCAGGCGTTGACGAGAGTGGCAAGGACGAAGTCGTCGGGGAGGAGAAAATGGACGGAGATCATCCGGCGGAAGATGGAGAGGAAGGAGGAAAGGGAATTGTAACGCGCATGAGCTGCTAGGATGGATGAGTATAGGAAGATGTCCGGGTGGGGAATTTCGTCGAACAAGATGTAAGCGTCAAGCTGGAGGTCAGATTTAGTGTACGCATTGAGGAGGGAGGATGGGAAGGGAGAGGAATGAAGGAGGCAGGATTTGAGAAGGTGGGCGTGGATGTGGCGGGCTACTGCGGGTAGATGGAAGCTGGCGGCGGAGCGTAGGAGGGAGAGGAGGATTTGAGCGGTGGCCGGTGGCGGAAATTGCATCCCTGCTACCTCCCTCTCATTCGAGGCAAATTATTGGGTCAGGTGACCGAAGCCATCTCTCCGTTCGGTCGCCAATAAAAATGCGCCATCTGTCAGTCGTTTTTTTAATTTAATATTAACGCTTTATGTCTTGTCAGAGTTAGCGACCCGACCCGATAACGCTATTCATTTGAACTTTTAAGCTTTTGCCGCCCTATTTTTTCATTTTGAGACCCGCGAAAGACGCAAATATGTGCTGCTGTAGAAGAAAAAACGAGCCAGAAAATTGCAGAGAAGAAATGGACTGCTCAGTGAAGAGGGAGGTGGAAGAGGGAGTGCATGAATCGGAAAGGATGCATGAATCGGAAGGGCTGGTGCATGAATCGGAATCGGAACATGTGCATGAATCGGAATCGGAACCTAACTTAGCCGGAAATTCCTCTGGTTTCAACATATCGGTAAGTATCTTGGAAAAACGAGTTAGAAAGTTGTTTGTGAGCAGAATAAATTTCTTAAGCAGAAAGTTGACGTAGGTTTCAGCTCATTATTCTTAAGATTTTTGATTTTGCGATTTTTAAGCAGAATAAATTTCTTTTGTCGAAAAAGTAAAAAATAAAAAAATCTAATGTTGTTGTTGTTGCTTAGCATTCATTATTGATTTCTAGGATGAAGATGATAAATAAAAGAATGCGCTATAGTTGCGCTATAGTTGCGCTATAGTTGCGCTATAGTTGCGCTATAGTTGCGCTATAGTTGCGCTATAGTTGCGCTATAGTTGCGCTATAGTTGCGCTATACTTGCGCTATACTTGCCCTTTACTTGCGCTATACTTGCCCTTTCAGGCTGTATACAAAGATGAGACAGAAGCATATGAATGTTTTTGCACTTATGCTCACGATAATGGCTTTAGTGTCCGAAAGGATCATCACAGTTTTTGGCCAAATTCTAGGAAGATAAAATCGAAGGACTTTGTTTGTTCAAAAGCTGGTTTCAAAAAAAGTGACGATCATAATTCAGGGAAGAGGAAGAGATTCATTAGACCAGTTGTCAGAACTGGTTGTCCAGCCATGGTGAGGTTTGTCACTGATGAAGACGGTTACTGGCATGTCAAAAGATTTATTGAATCCCACAACCATGAATTAGCTAGCCCAGCCGACCGACACCTTTTAAGATCATGTAGGAATGTTATTGAGGAAAAAGCTTCCGTCCTAAAATCGATGACAAATGCAGGGATTAGAACCGTTGATGCATATGCCTACCTTGCAGAGGAAGTTGGTGGATGTGAGAATGTCGGGGCGATCTCGGACGGGCCGAGTCGGGCTGCGTGGCAGGCCTAGTGTGTGTCGTAGGCGGGCCCAAGCATGCCTAGCGCGTGCCACGGGCAGGCCAGGCGGGCAGGCTGCGCATGGTTCTGTATCTGCCGACAGCAGCCGGCTGGACGATTCAGCCGGTTTGACTGCTTACATGTATATGGGTCCAATTTTTGACTCGAAAAGGCCAAATCAAATTTTTTTTGGCTCACCGGGATCATTTTTTGATGTTCTAAACTAAATTTTGGCACTTTCAAAGCCTTTCGTGATCTCTACGCATAAGTTCGAATTTCAAATCGCAAGGGAAATTATCAAAAGTTTGTGACACATATTTTTGGACTCTTGGAGCTTCGATATCCGAAAATAGAGGGGGCAACTGATATATCCTTAAAAAATTACTTGATTGGACACGAATCTCGAGGCAAAATCAAGTTGAAAACTTCAAAAATTAAATCTAGGATCACGTGAACTCCGATTTCAATAAACTTATAGTCAAACTGAGCGTATAAAAAATGCAAACGCAACGACACCAAATTTAACTCAGTACGAGCCCAAATGAGTCCAAATCAAGGACCCGAAGTGCTTTTAGAAAGTTCGAACCACAATTTGAGTTTCCAAACGGTTTCCAAACATGACATACTTATAATCGAATCGAGCGGCTCGATGAGGCGAATCCAACGAGCCCAAGATCGCGAAATTCTGACATTATTAAGACCTTCAAATGTTTGATGAACAGTACACGATCAAGGAATTCAATATCGGCCGTCCATCCAACCGCTCCACATTTCCCCCTGATCTCTCACATATTTATGGGCCATGCCACTCCAGAAATCTATAAATAGACTTCTCATTTCTCTTGAGAGGGGGGATTAGAGCAAGGGGAGCAATAAGGAATAAGAGGAAAAGAGAAAAATAGGAGGGAAGAAACTCCTCCTCGACCACCGCCGGAGTTCTGCCCGACTTCCAAGTCATGCTAGAATTCCACCCGACCTCCAAGTGATGATGGAATTTCGCTCGACCTCCAAGTGACGCCGAAGTTTCACACGAACTCCAAGTGACGTCGGAGTTTTGCCCGAATACCATCTAATGCCGGAGTTCTCCTCGCCTGCTAACTACGGTCCTTCTGACTTATGTTGCCCACCGACTATAGTCCTTCTGACCTCCGTCACCCGCCGACCACATTCCTTCAGACTTACGTCACCCGTCGACTATTGTGCTTCCGACTTACGTCGCCCACCGACTACGGTCCTTCAAACTTACGTCGCCCGTCGTCTACAGTCTTTTCAACCAAATGAACACGTCAACAATGGCTATTTATATTTCCATGTAATGTTCTCCATATGATGTACTTCAAGCCAATGCCTTTCCCCTAAGGAAATGCCTCATTTGTAATCGACTGCAAATAATAGTGGATTCATTCAAACTAGGCTAGGCTTTATGGTTTTTCCCCATTTTCAAGGGTTTTCTACGTAAAAATCTCTATGTCTTTAGTGAATGACGCACCCTCTCTCATTATCTATATGTGTGTTGGATCTTTGTACAACGCTAAGACGCTAAACTTTATATTTCTCTACCGCCGCGAATACTCCAGCACGCAACAAGTTTTAATTTAGGTTAAAAGAGAAAGATATATAAATAAAATTTTGTAGTTTGATTATATTGAAGGAAATATAGTTAGAAGATTGATTTAAAGAAAGATGATTAATGTATACAAATATTAGATTTAAGAAAAAAAAGATAAGCCAATTAGCAATTAAAGGCATTTTATATGCATGATTATGGGTACTCTATAGAAAGAAGTGAAGTGAATGATTGAAAGGCAAAGACAAGTTGTTCAAGGTAAAGGCATGCAATTACTTTTTTGTTATATCTCAAATTTAAAATTCCTATTTTAACTCATTTCAAGGTTGTTACGAATATAACTTATTAGAAATGATTGAAAGAATTATTATTATTTTCTTAAATAAATATCTTATTGTTGTAATAACACGAATAAATGAAATGAATTTTGTTTCAATCACATGTATTGTCAAAATATGCTTGTATATATAATATATGAAAGGATATATAAGGAAAAGTATATGTGTTTGATGAATATACGAGTTCACAACCTTATGATACTGAATGAGAAAATAATATATTCATACACATAACATGAAATTGTATTTATGTTGTCTATGCGTGAATTAAAATGTTTACTTATCATGGCGTACATGTATTTATTTTTTAATTTTAAATTGTAATTAACCATTGAAATATTTTGTGATTCAATATATTATAAAATGTAAATATTTTAAGAAAGACTTCTTTAAATTAAATGGGTGATAGAGAAGAATTTGTGTAAGGAGAAAATAAGTAAATGAGAATACATATTTAATGATTATATGTCAATAATCTATTTATTTCTACTACTAAAGCTAAACTTAGCTCTATAATTTATAATGGATTTTGGAGTTTGTAAGGTTTACATATTTTGGCTTTTCGTTCTCTATTTGTTTGTATAGATAAAATCTCTTTAACTGACAAATAATCATCTTCTCTCCACGATCTAAAAAATCATCACTATTATGTCACTTAGTCCAAATACATTCGGTTTAAGGGTTGATCCCTAAAGTACTCTCACTAATCATGGAGGGCTTTCCTTGAGTGATATATTTGATATTAAAATTTTATATGAGTAATAATAATATAATATTTCAATTTTAAGTATTGGTTATGTAAATAATATAAAATAAAATAATATGTATGTAAATCTCCCATTTAATTTTTTATGATCAAAATATTAATTATTTTGTACTGTAGTCCAGACAAGATTTCAGCGAAGGAAGGGAGAAGTTATCATTGACAAAATTGTCTCCTGAGCCTCGCTTCAACAATCGTCAAACAATGCCCGGTGTTCTCTGTCCATCGGAGCATTCGAGGATTCGCTCACTTGGAGTTGCTCCACACCTCTTCCCTTCTCATTCACCTACTCGCTCGTATTTTCTTCTTGGTTTCTGGGGGCATTCGACATGCCGATCTGCTTCCATTCTACGCCTGTCATTTCCTTCTTCGGTCAAGCGGGTGTTTCCGTGCTCTTCCCTGCTCGGGTTTTCGAGTGGAAGCCACGCTTGGTTGCTGATCATCGCTGGATTTGGCGACCCAGAACTTTCGCTACCTCGGAGGTGAGTTTTTAAGGTTGCGTACAACCATTTTATTATGCTCCTCATTTTGTGTGTTTTGGATTTGTATATATATTTGGGGTGTTATTCATGTTGATTTTTCTGAAGGCAGGTTTTATTGTAGATGAAGCATTACCTAAAGATTTTGCTACTTGTCACCAATTGTCATGGCTTGTAGTATTTCTTTCGTAAGTTTGAATCTAGTAAGCATGATGATTATTGCTGCAAGTTGAGACTCTGCTTTAGTTAGCATCCTTAGGTTCACAAATTTATTGAAAATTGAAAGCCTCATTTAAGTGATTATGATTAGGTTCTTTATGATACTTGCGTCCTAGGGCTGCAAATGAACCGAACCGAGCCGAGTATGTCAGTGTTCATGTTTGAGTTCGTTTATTATTAGCTTGTTCAAGTTCGGTTCGAGTTTGATTCGAGCTTTATTGTTTGTGTTCATGTTTGATTCATTTAAATTAATGGTGTCCACATTTGGTTCATGTTCGGTTTGTTTAGTGCTTATCGAGCTTTAAACAAACAAGCCTTAACGAGCTATGTTCATGAACATATTTAACGAATTTTTTTTATACTATCAAACAAGTCATTCATGAACAAATCTAATGAGTGTTCTTGAACTATCAAATGAGCAAGATCATGAAAATATACATAACTAGTATTTTTGAGCTACCAAATGAGCTCGTTCACGAACAAGCGATCTATGATTTGTCTTATATTTGTTCATGAACATCTTACACAAACAATCTAGCAAAGATTGACAAATGTGAAATGTCTCTTGTTCATGAACAAATTCATTCTATTAAAAATATAAAATAAAATGAATTTAAGTTTAAAATAAAAGCAGATGTTTATTTAAAATGAAAATATGATTATTCTGTGTGAATATATTTATCAAGCTTATTCACGAGTTCTAAATCGAATAAGAATCGAACTTTTATCAAGCTTCTTATCGAGCTTAATGTCGAGCTTGTTCAAGAACTTCAAATGATGTTGTTTGTGAACATAAATGAACCGAACACATTAATGTTCAAGCTTGCTTATTTAAGGACCGAGTATTAAAAATGTTGTTCAAGTTTGTTTGTTTAGTTAGTTAAACGATCACAAACGAGCTTTAAGCAAATTGAGCAACAAGTAGCTCGTCGAATGTTCGGTTTGCTTGCAGCCCTATTGCGTCCCATACAATGTCTGTGATCTAATTGCCTTCTTTATAAGTGATCCAATTACCTTTTATATTTTTTGAAACACAAATATTGTTTAATGCAAGTTTTAAAGGAGTAAAAAATATGAGAGTATTTATTTGCAACATGTTAAAAAAATATTTCATGATAAGTATAACATAAAATAGTATATTACCTGGAGAGATATTATAGCATTTCACTATAGACTCAATAATAAAAGTTAGTTTTGAACTTCTTTATGTCCTCAAAGATCTTCCCCTATCTAATATATTTTATTGAATGTAGTTTATTATATTTTGGGATACATGTTATTAATAAAGTGATACGGCAGAAGCAAATTCTAGCCAAGGTGGGGCCTAGGTACGACCGACAGATAAGGAGAGAGAGACGGTTGTGAGGGGGCGGGGACCAGCAAGAAATTAATGCATTATATTAGGAGGAAATCAATTAGGAATTAATGCTTTATATTATGACGAAATCAATTAGGAATTAATGCATTATATTATGATGAAATCAATTAGGAAATTCTTTCTTAATTGAATTATTTTTCAAATTAAGGAGGGAAATGTCACGACTCGACTTGAATACTCAAATTAACGAGACAAAAACAAAAAGTTGGACGGTGTAACATTTCATTCAATTTCATAAGCAATACATTCAACTTCTCAATACAATTGAAAATCCACCATTACAAAATTTTCATAAAACTACTGATGTCATGACCCGACCCGATATGCTCGAATTAACGAGGGCAACAGATGGTCGGACGAAAATTTTAAAATTTTTAATTCATCTAAAATTATCTTAATAAACTTTGAAAGAGCCACAAAAAATTAAAAAAAAAATGATACAAAAATATTCAAATACCTATCATTCGGCGCGTCACGTCTATGTTACATATTTTCACCTCTTCTACTCATTTTGTTTTTATATTAAACTTACCTTAAAAAATGTTAGAGCAACAAAAAGTAAGCCACAACTTAGTGTGTAAAACATGCTTCTAAACTACAGTAATTCAATGCAATTTGAACAATATGCATAATCATTTTTTTTCATTTTATATTATAAAATAATTACACTTAATTATATCATTTCATGTTGAGATTTTTTTATTTTATGACTTTCAATGTTATACATAAATCATACATGTCATACATATCATATCTATATTCATAGTTTTCTTATTTTTCATAAATAATATAACCATAATAGAGTTACCGTCTAATTTAGTACCAATGAAGGTACTCCTTTTCCATTTCATTTTTTCTTTTCCATAACTTTTTTCTTTTTACGTGCATCAGTACATTGCATCCCCAATCAGTATCATAAGGGAGTGTGCTCCATCAGTTAACATGCACATGCAAGCATACCATATCATATCATTTTTTATTGCTTTTTATGAAAATGTAAGTCATGACATATTTAGTTTCATTTGATTCAACATGATCAATAATTGAGTATGAAAAAGATGGATCATAATCTAATTTGCAATAAAAACTTAATAAGTAATAAGCATATATCAGCATATTTGAATACATTTAATTTAAGAAAGAACGAAATTATTACTGTAATTAAAAGACATGAGTACTATTATTGAATGTTTTCAAGCTTTATTATTTTTCAAACCTCAAGTTTTGTTGCAGATTCCAATACTTGTCACAACTTAATTATAAAAATATTCTATTGTTCAAATAACATTAAAAGATCTTAAACCTTCAACTTGAAGTTCTCAATTAAAAGCAACATTAATGATTCCTATTCTTCTTACGATGATAGCTTAATTTACTTCAACATAAAAGAGCTCTAGTTCTTCTCAAAATTTATATTACCCAACATTATCCATAATTCATTTTCATTAACTTAGCATTTTAATATTATTATTTTTGGATTTTCTTTAATTAAAAAAAAATATTAAAAATCCTAATTTTTTACCCCTAAAAATATTCCTAGGGTTATTAGGAATAATATTTATTAAGATATTCTCAAAGAAATTGAATTTCGGAAAATACCATAATTTTGAAAATCTCAAAACTTTTGGAAGAAAACAAAAATTTAGGTTTAGAACTCACCATTAAGTTTCCCTAAAAATTCCCCTTTTAAAATTTTAAGAATTTGGAAAACCCTAGATTTTCAACATAAGAAAATCTAAGCAAAAAGAAGTAATTTCTAAGTTAGAAATATACCTAAAGCTTTTCTAAAGCTTTCACTTTGATTTCCCCCAAAAAGAGCAGCCAGAAACCGCCCATTGCAGCTGCCCGAAGCCTTTGCTTGCGCCTCTCTCTTCTCCTTTGCTCTCTCCTTCGTTAAACCGAACAAAATGAAGAAGGGATCGAAAGTTTCAGTACCTTAAGCCATTTTGACAATTGAGAAAAGCCAAAAGATGCATGTGCCCTTGCATGCTTAAGCTCTTTTGAGAAAATGATGGGCTATTTAGTAAGTTGCCTTTTATTATACTTTACCAATTTTTAATTTTAAATCCATGCGAAATTAACCCAAAGTCCTTTATACCGAATTGATCGAAATTTAATGTAGAATTTTATAAAATTTGTTTCGTCGAATTTTGGCAACTTTAAAAATTCATCTATTTTCTTCATGGTGCATCGCAGCGCGTCGTGATGCTACGATTCAACATTTTCGGGTTTTACAAATGATATCATTTTTTTGTCTAAATATTTACATCAATCATAAATTATCGTCTTCTATAGACTTATTTCTCCGTTTCAACAATTTTTATTTCTTTAGAGACTTACTGAAAATGTTAGTTTAATGGGTTGAGTTTACAACGTAAAATAAGTGGATAATCTTTAGATATATAAAATCTAAACATGAATAAAATATAATGTAGGTTCTTTTCCGTATTTCTTATACAATATTAAAACTTATATATCATTTGATATATGTATACTCATATAACATATAGTTTACATATTATATATATATATATATATATATATATCATATCATTTTCCATTTCATTCATTCATTCTTTTATACCTTTTATATACATTTCATATCATATAGCTTTCATAAAACTTTTACATTTATTTTTTTCCAATTTCATTTGTACAAGAACACCTTCTAACTGTACCTATAATGATACAGCCATTTTCATTTAACATGCACGGATAAATTGCTTCCCCAACAAGTACCATATGGGGGTGACTCTTGTAAGTTGTATGCATATTCTTTTTTTTATTTATTCATTTATGATTTTATTTATAATTTATAAGATATATCATTTCTTTCCTCATTTTTTTTTATTTATTCATTTACCTTCATACTCTCATTCATATACCTTTATACTCTCATGATAATCAATATATATTTTCAGTCATAACAATTTATATATCAAATTTCCACCATCATATATGCATTTGAATTTACATTGCTTTACTCATAATAGTCTCCTAAAATAAATAAAACAATTATATAAAATACTACTTTTAAAATTGAAATGGAAATAAATAATAAAATTTTACACAACTGTAATTACTCACTTTATCTTTCTCTTCAAATATTCGTCTCGGTATGAGAACCTTTAACTGGTCACAATAACATAATATTTTAATTAATATTAAATTCCAATTTTAATGTCTCAATTATCATCAATAACAAACATTTGATTTCTTCCACAATTGATTTCACTATCTATCTTCATAATATAAAATTACTTCACCACAAATTTTCCCTTGCAAATTTTCTGCTTTCACTGTCGGATTTAAGTTTGCTATAGTTTGATTCTTTCAATAATAATATTTCTTCAATATAGGTTGATAAAATACTACCTTAATTGGGCCAAGCAAATAGACTTGAGGC